CACCACTGTGCCAAGCGGGACGATGTGTGGCACTGCTGGTGGTCCTGCTGCCCCTCCCGCAGGGACCCTCACGCAGCAAAGCTCGGCACCCGCCCCGCACTTGACGCCAACGGGGACGTGCTGGGCCACGCGGCCTGCCTGCCGGACTCGCCGTGCCCTGGCAAGCCACTTGGCTTCGGCCACCCCCAGGCCAGCCACTGCAAGATGACCAACCTGCAGGCCACCCAAAGCCATGTCAGCTGCCTGTCTCCGGCCACGCCCTGCTGCGCCAAGATGCACTGCGAGCAGCTGATGGAGGGCACGGGCCATATCCACGTGCACGAGGAGGATGCCTTCGGGCACGACTCGCACCTGCACAGGTGCCCCCAGGGCAGAACTAAGCCACACTACTTCAGCCAGCACCAGGCAGCCGAGCAGGAGTATGCCTACCACATCCCGTCCAGCCTGGACGGCAGCCCCCGCAGCTCCCGCACGGACAGTCCCCCCAGCTCGCTCGAGGGCCCAGTGGGGCCCCACTCACTGGCCTGCTGCGCCCAAGGGGACCCCTTCCCCTTGGTCACCCAGCCCGAGGGTGGCGACGCCAGCCCCGTGGCCTATGGCTGCCCCCCGCGGCTGGGCAGGGAGGTGGCCCATGGCCCTGGTCACTTCGAGATGCTCCGGAGGACGCAGTCCCTGCCCTTCAGCGGCCCTGGCCAGAATGGGCTGGTCAAGGGGGACATGCCTTACGGCTCCGACAGCACCGGCAACATCCGCACGGGGCCCTGGAGGAACGAGACCACGGTGTAGCGGGCAGCCGGGCACCCTCGCCCATGTGGCCGCACACACGCGCGCCGGGCGTGCTTCAGTGCAGAGCCAGGACCTCTGCTGCAAGAGGGGGCGGGGGTCACCACCGGACCGAGCTTTGGCGGCACCCCACTGACCCCTTCAGCAGGAAGGACTGGAGCAGAAAGACGCTTTGGGCCACATCTGCCTCCACGGACCTGAGGTCAGACCAGCGTACACATCCAGGCACCTGCCTGCCATCCTGCCATGCCCGGTCCCCGGGGGGGGCAGCCCAGGGACGGACCGGGCAGGGATTCTACCAAGGGAGCAGCCCTCAGCACCCGCATGGCCCGCGCAACCTAGTGGGCATCCCACCCGCCCTGCCGCCTGCCCACGGCAGGAGGTGCCACCAACATTTTCTAGTGTTTCGTGTGCGTGTTGTTAAGTCTTGTTCCTGGGGGCAGACAGCCTGCCGGTCAGTCCAGAGCACTCTGGGCAGTTGCCATGAGCCCCTCCGCTGTCGTGGGGACTCCCGTCAGCTCCCTGCCCTGCACTGGCTCCAACCTCAGCCCAGTCTGGGATGCAGCCACGCTCCGAGAGACCGTCGGCGACCCGAGGCCTTTCCAGGGCCAGCGGGGGCCTGAAGGGTCGCGCCTTCGAAATGCCCAGATGTCCTTTAATATAGACTCAGCTTGCAACGCCAGCGTCTGCCAGGACTGGTCCCGCCTCCCAACAGGGGTGTTGGGGAACAGCTCCGTTCCCTGCCACAGAGAGGCACTGGCATTCCTGTGACCCTCCGGGCACAAAGCCGTGAGTCGGAGGACAGATGTCAATCATAGATCCTTCTGCGACAGCAAGTGGCACATCCCTCGGGAAGGGGTCTGTGCATCCCCACGGAGGCAGAGCCCAGACATCCAGGGGGACGTGCGTGTGAGCCCGGCAGTCATTCCTCCCTCCCGCCCTCCCTCCTTGGGTCTGTGGCACATGTGCACCCACACGCATGCACACGCACACGTGTTGGTGCACATGCCACGTACATGTGTGCGGGGTGCTCGCGTGCACAGCACACACCACACGCATCACACGCATCACCCGTGGACACATGTCTGCTGCACATGGCACAGGTGCACGTGCAGGGTGGTGTGTTGTCCAGCCACCCGAGGGCCGGGCTTGCTTCACCCTGCACAGCCTGGTCCCCAGGACTTGTCAGCAGCTGTGTCTGGGGGGGCCCCAGTGGGAGGAGGCTCTTCCTCATGCGCCTGGGGTGGGCGGCATGTCAGCCGTCCCTGGGCTGACTCTCAGTATCTGGGCCCAGGAGCCTGGCTTCCTGACAGTGAGGTTGTAATAGACCACGGTGCCTGGGGCCTGCCTCGAATCCCGTGTGTCCTCACAGGTCAACCTGACAGCAGCTGACAGCGCCGGCCCCCGTCCAGCCTGCTCACCTGCTTCCATGGCTGGTACGAACCAGAGACCTGGGGCGTGCTGGGTTCTCACTGTAGACGCAGAACTGTCCATGAAATACAGTATTTTCATCGTTCGCCCTTTGTGAGGCTGGTTAATAGCTTCCGTGTGCGCCTCTCTCCCTCGGGGAGGGGCAGCCTCTCCTCGGGGCACGGCCCCCCTTCTGTGCCCCTGGGCCCCTCAGGGAGCCCACCGTCCTTCCTTCCTGCCCTCGGCACCCCTGGCAGGACAGAAAGAGTGCCTCACCATCCAGACCAAAGAAACAGCATTAAACATTCCACACCATGTGTCAGTGTTGGCTCAGCCTCCTGAGTCCACCCGGGGAAGTGCTGCGACGTACTCCACCGGCAGGCAAAGGTTTCCGCGTATAGCAGTCCCCAGCACGGCCCCATCCAGGAGCCCTTCGCACGGAAGGAGCTTCTGAAAGGATGTGGGCAGGAGGTCCGCTGTGTGCACGAGTGTTTGTGAATGTGCTGGCACGTGTGCGTTGTGCTCGAGGTGTGTGTGTGTGCGTGTGCACACACAAGTCTGTCGTGTGTGGGTGTGTGTTGTGAGAACATGTGCAAGGGTGGGAACGTACTTCCGTGGGTGCTGTGTTTGTGAGTTGGGTGGTGGGCACGTGGATGAGCGTGTGTACGCGTGTGAGTGTGGGTGTGTAGTGTGCCTGCGTCTGTGCCTCGTGCGTGGATCGCACGGCTGTGAGCACGTGTGAGTGTGCACATGTGAGGGGGGTCTGAGTGGTGCGTGTGTGCAGTGAGTGCACGTGTGTGCTGCGTGTGTGGGCCCTTCACAGAGCGAGTGCGACGCCCCCAGCCATGGCCTCGCTGGGCGCGCCTCTCTAACTTGCGGGTGGAGGCCCGGTGGCCGCACAAGGGCCTTAATCAGCCCTGAAGACTCAGGAGCAGGGGCAGGTCTGAGGGCCTCCTCCCAGCGGTTCCGCGAGGACGTGTCGCCATCTGACCCGAGGGTGGATGGGCGCCCGCTGCCTGGCCTGGAAATGCAGGCACGGCCAGCACCATGGGTGCAGGGAGACTTGGCACCATAACTGGATTAAGGGCACCCCGAAGACCCCCGACTCCTGCTGAGCCGCCTCTGGGAGCCCCCGCTCCGGGGCTGCTGGTGTCTTCACAGCCGGGTCAGCGGTGGGTGGGCGCTGGACCGGGGCCCGGGCCACAGCTCTGCTCCTCATCCTGCCTGCCTGGCCCAGCTCTGAGAGGCCCAGACAGTCGAGGAGAGCCCTGGACTCCAGGAGCCCCCCGGGAACAGAGGTCAGCTCGGAGGAGTGAGCGCCAGGCTGGAGGGTGGGGCAGGCAGAGCCCAGGAGTGGCCTCCGGGGGGCCCTCGGGGCAGGATTCCATCCTCAAAGGCTGCCATCCAGGGGGCTCACTCATTGTGCTGGGCTCCATGCGGGGCCAGGGTGACAGCCGGCAGTGACTGCAGCTTTGGGAGGCCTGACCTCTGCCAGCCCGGGGGCCCTGGCAGGTGCACAGCCCCACATGAGCGGGCCACGTCCGCCCCATGGGCACCCAGTTCTCGTCTGCAGTTCTGCCCCTGCCCCACGACCCTCGGAGCCTCTAGGCGGGGGAGGGGGTGCTGCCAGGCCTCTGGCCTCACTGCTGCTAGCAGCTGGACATAGGCTGACCAGCCAAGACAGGCCTGAGCCCAGGGCAGTGGGTGTGCGTGCTCTGGCTCTGAGGACGGCCACTCCCTCCTGGGGGACCACTGGCCAGCCTGCCCAGCCCGGGTTCCTCTCTGACCAGAGGCTTCGACAGAAGCTTTCACTGCGTGATTTAGTACCAAATGGGCACCTTCGGGTCCCAATGCTGCCTGTTAGGTGCAACAACAAAGAGTGTTCTGGAGACTGCAAGTTGGGGGGAGACTCTGGCCCTGGCAGGGGACAGCTCTGCCTCCCCCAAGAAGATGAGACAGAGGGGACAGGGCAACAGCACAGGGAGCGGCGCCATGGGAGCCATGCCAGCTGTGGGGGTGGGGGACACGGTGCTGATGGGCACCTGCAGAGGCCAGTTGGGGTGGGGACAGAAAGGTCAAGTTGGAGGGTCATGGCGACCAACTCTGAGAGCTCTGGTCACTCAGGAGGGTGGGCGCCACAGGAAGGGGCGCACAGGAGGCCCCAGCATGAGTGAGAAGCGCATTCCCCAGATGTGACCCTGTGGCTACTCCTGGGAGGCAGGTGTCCATCTCCCAGTGAGGCAGGTCTGCCTGCAGGCGTGAGGGTGGGCAGCAGGAAGGCTCCCACTTCCAGCTCCGCAGGGCGGCCCCTGAGGGCCAGGAGGGAGGGGCTGTTGGATGCAGCTGGAGCAGATCCGAAGGCCTGACATCAGAAGGGACCACGTCCCTTTGCGGATCAGAAACCCGGTGCCCGGGCAGGGAGCGGGGTGGGGAGGTGCAGGGAGGGACAGGGCCTCTCCGGAGGACAAACAGGGGAGAGCTGCAAAGCAGGAGGACTCCCCACCGCTGGTCCGCTGCTGAGACCACCTCTCTGAAGCACGGAGTGGCATCAGCAGGGCACGGCCGAGGGCAGGGGGACCAGAGCAGAAGGCTCGCGGCTGGGGGGCGGCGGTGCCCCGGGAGCGAGGCGCTGTGGGGTCCAGCAGGAAGCACGGGCGGAAGCTGTGAACTCCTCGGGGGCGGGCTGAGCGAGGCACTCAGTACACAATCTAAGGGGCACAAAAACTCAGTAAGACGAGTAATGTGACACAGTGTTTTTAAAAACCAAAATTGCTGAAAAAAAATTCACAATGACCAGCATTAAAATTGGAAGTGGAGGCAGAATCAGCGTGCCTGGTGGTTCCCCTGTGGCTTCAGGTCCCGCGTGGGTGCCGGGGACGCCGGGCTGACATGCGGCTCAGACGGACAGTCCACGTCCAGCATCCGCTGGGGCCCCGCCAGACCACACGGCCAACACAGCTCCAGGGAACAGCGACAGCAGGAGTGACCCAGAACCAGGAAAGGCGGGCGCAGGGGTGCTGGGCACACTGGAATCCACTGTAGACAGAGGGCGGTTTCCACTTACCTCTTCTACCACAAACACTCAAAACTAGAAAACCAGGATTGTTGAAGTTTGAGCGAGGCAGATGGAAGCTTCCATTGCGCTGGCTGCATGGCTGGGACCGGAGGACAGGCGTGCGCACCGCACTCCACAAAGTGCTGCCACATCTGAGCTGGGGGCCCATGGAGGGTGTGCAGCCCCGTCCAGCCCCACTGCGCGGGTCCCGGAACCCTCCCAGAGTGTAGACGGAGGTCACACGGACAGCAGCCAGGCCTCCCACCCGCACTCCCGCCCACCTCAGTGCAGCTAGCTCACACGTCGGGACTCGTTCAGTGACCGGCCTTCCCTAGCTTGTCGCCCCCCCCCCACTTCCAGCTCAGACCATTCACACTGGACGCTCTCCAGTGCCCCCCAGCCCCTCCGGGCACACCCAGGGCCCCTTCACCCTAAAGTCTCCACCCCCTGGCCTGTGCTCTGGCCTCTGCAAAACCCTGGTGACCAGGCAGCCCTAGCCGGGTGCCGTGCACGCAGCACCTGTCAAGCACTCAGCTCAGACTGGTGAGCAGTCTCGGAGAGGTCAGGTGACTTGCCCAGCCCCACACAGTCAGGATGGGCAGACCCACTTGTCTCCGTGTCCCACTCCCCCGGTGTCTCCCTGGGCCCCACAGCATTCGCTGCTGCACCAGGTGAAGGAGGGACGATGGGACTCATCCATCAGCTGGGGACCTTCTCTGTGTGTCACCTGACGTGCCAGTGTCAGTCCCAGCTCACTGCCTGCTGCCCACTGCACACACCCTCGCAGCTCGAGAGCAGTTGGCAAGCTCTGGAGACCCCGCTGACCACCAGGTGAGCTGGGAACCGGGCAGGGGCCCACCCGGAGCCACCAACGCGGAAGGAGGTGGGGGGCGCGCCCCCGACCAGGGACGAGGCTTCGAGTGAATTCTTAAGGCGAAGCCTCCTTCGAGGCCTCCAGACTGAGGCTGTGGGGCAAAGACAGTGAACAAGTGAAGAGACGGTGCTCTCGTTTGCTGCAGATGCACCAGACGGGCGGTGAGTACAAGCGCCCGGGAAGGGCCGTGAACTTGCAGAATCCACTCCCCCCGCTGCGAAACGTCCTGAACGGAGAACGCTGGCCTCGGGTCCCCCGGCCAGCAGAGGGGGTCACGGCCGGCAGGCCCCACAGGAGCCTGGGGAGCAGGACAGACCTGAGCTCCCAGTGAGGGGAGGAGCCCGTGCGCCGGTCAGACACGGGGGACCCGGACCCGTGCGCCCCGCAGGGACTTCGGGGAAAAGGAGGGGAAATCAGCTGCAATCAAAGAACTCACGGTGGAAATCAGAAAGTATTTTGACTTGAATGTTAAGGAAAACATGGCGCGTCAGACCTTGTCGTTTGATCTGCAAAGTTCTCCCCACAAGAAAAGAAAGCTGGGCCTACGTGAGGGGCAGGTGTTAACCGGACCCCTTGCAGGGGCCATTTTCCAACACACACAAGCATGAAACCATCATGTTGCACACCTGAAACTGAACAATGTCATTATATGTCGATGGCACTTCGACTAAAAAGGTTTTAACCTTGTCTTGCTAAAACTGTGCTTAGAGAAAATGCATAGCTTTACATAAATTACATCTGAATAGGAAAAAGAGGACAGTGAGTTTGCATCTATCTCAAGAATTTAGAAAAATAATAGTAAATTAAACTCTCCTCCAAGTCCACCAAAAAAAACAATAAAGAGAAGGAATTAACAAAGTAACGTATTATTTGACAAAGCTGCACAGTCAGCATCGCCCTGGCAGACCCGACGGAGACGAGAGAAGGAGCCAGCAACAAGGGGGAGGAGCTGGGGGGTCACCGCAGACCCACCGACACCAGCGAGGCGCAGACGGGGTGATGCCTGCAACTTCCAGCCAAGCCAGGAAAGCACAGCTTCAGGACCCTGACTTCAGAAAGTGTAGAGGCCGCCTAAGAGCTGTGTGACCACTGAAGACCCGAGCCAGTCGCCTAAAGCCTTCCCGTTGAGGGAGAGCCTCGGGTCCAGGTGGCCCGACGGCGTCCCCAGAGAACTCCACAGACGTTTGAGAAAGAAGTCATGTCCCTTCCGGAGAAGGGACCCCCAGTTGTTTCATGAGGTGCACGAAGCTCGCTCCCACAAGGACATCGTGAGAAAGACAGTGACAGCCAGTGGAAGTGAGCGCAGCGGTCCTTCACAGAAGCCGGCCAGTCAGCTGGAGAAGCGCCTGCCGGGGAAGCAGAAGCGGAGTCTCAGTCAGGTGATGCGCCTCCACCTGAGCAGGGGAATGTCACCTGCTGCTCAGTCGTGATGCTTCAGCAGGGTGCTCCTCTCTCCCTCGATGTCACGACTGACAGCTGACAGTGTTTCCCACGGCCCTCTTCTGGGGCCTGCGGTCCGCCCTCCATGGGCTGTGACACCCCTGGCTTGGGGTCGGCTCCCCTACCAGCTGACGGTCTTACCTGTGTCCTGTCTCTGTCCCTAGAGCCAAGGCGCTTGGAGGCGGACCCCCAGCCCCCGAGTCCAGCTCTGAACTCCGGCCAAGACCTCACCTGGATGTCCACCAGGACAGCAAAGACCACCAGTTGTTAGGGTGGGGGGACCCCCGCAGGCAGGGTTAGGGAGACAGGTGGTTTAGCTCGGGGAGCTCACACTGTGATGCCATCAGAATCACACAGTGTTGGGATGGAAAGGTGGGGAGGGGGTTAGAGACGCAGCTCCTGACCAGCCACTGGCTGTGGTGGGGTTGTCCTCAGGGGCAGACAGGACCAGGGTCCCCTCCCTCACTCTCCCCACCTCTAACAGGGGCCCTGCTGGCTCTGTCCACAAGGGGACCCCAGTCTTGCTCATTCAGGGGTGAGACTTCGCATTTGGAGTCTTTGCTCCCAGTCAGGCCTGTTACAGGGCGGAGCAGCTGGACTGGGGACCGTCATGCGTGGGGACCTCGGCCCATCCCCCAACACTGGCAGGCGGCCCTGTGGCCGGAGCAGGTGCCCACGGCGTGTGGGAGCAGGTCGCACATTTGCATTATTACAACAAGGAGGCAGCAGATCCACGTGACGTCCTTGAGTGAAAGGAGGAGCAGCGCTGGTCGGGCCCTGGGGAGGTGGGGCCACACGGTCACTTCGACAGAGAAGATGTGCACAGGACCGAGTGCGGACGTCAAGGGCCCATCTCAGGGTTGGAAGGCAAGACAGGGCGTGAGGTCCCTTGGGGACAGCAACTACAGAGGGGCTTCCACCCCTGGGGAGGGCTGCTAGGACCCAGCTGCCTGCCCCGTCTCAGGGGAGAGCAGCAGGGGAGGGGCTCCTGCTGTCCAGCACCCTCACAGCCCCAGAGAAGCCGGGCAACGCGAGGACCAGCCGAGTGTGCAGAGACCAAGGAGCGACAGGGCGGCTCAGCTCGCCCAGCAGAAGCGGGTCAGTTCTAGGTCCTCGTGTGCTTGTTCCCATCTCTTGTTCCCATGGTCAAAATATTTCCGTACTGTAAAATGAGTCTTATAGTCACCAGAAACAACAAACAAACAATTTAAAATACTTATTTAATAAATATTCAATGTATTAAAACCTTACGCACATTCTCTTGCAAAGTGTGTCGAGGGTCCACAGAAACTCTCAAGCTTACAAATCCATCAGAGGGTAAAATTCTGGCCGGAATTAGATGCCTGTAATGAGTTTCAGGAGAACGTTACGATGGAGATTTCTGACTATTAAAAAACATGTTTGTGTGTTTTTTCCTAAGTGATTGATCGTGGGTATCAAAACCACTTTGGTTTTTAGCCTTTCGGATACATTCACCAGAGTGACTAGCAGCTTTATTTCAAAATGTCAGTAATGATACCACACCAGATACTACATTCTTTGCGATTATTTACATTTTTTATTTTTTGAAAATTGTAGATCAATTTCAAAACTTCTAAGTGATGTGACAGCTTTTCAAAATTCTCTCAAGGAAAACAGGTGCCAAGGCTTTGAAACCCCGCTCCCCCACGGAAGAAACAATCCTGCCGTGGGCACTGGCCAGCAGGGAGACGGGAGTGGGAGGGCTGAGACTGGGCAGGGAGGCGGCTCAGGCTGGGACCTGCCTAGAGGCCGAGGTGGATGCAGAGGGGGGTCCTGGAGGAGAGGGGTGGGGCAGGGAGTGAGGCAACCCACCAGGGAAGAGCAGTAAGAAGACTGGGCTGTCACCGAGTCACGGCCTTGGCCGTGGAGCTGACCGTGTGGCCAGGGAGCCTCTGCAGGACTGACGGCTCCTACTGGGGAAAAAGGCTCGCTCACTGGGCTCGTGCTGGCACGTGGGTGGTGGGGAGAGGCCGGCACAGAGGCCGGAGCGAGGGGCCCCTCCAGCAGTCCGTCGGCGAGGACTCTTGGCCCTGTCTGGAGCTGAGCGTGCAGTGCACTTCGGGCACACGGGGCTGCTTGGATTCCTCGTGCCATCTGTGCCGACTCGTCAGCTCCGGCGTGGCCAATCCAGATCTGCTCTGACCTCAAGAGTCAAGCCCTCGTCCCCATACTGAGGGCGCCCACCAAGCCTGAGGCCCTAGGACTACGCCCTTCCGCAGAGCAAAGCTCACCCTGAATGCAGGCAAACACGCAAACACACAGTGAGACTAACAAAGCATCCAGCATAAGGTGTGTGTCACTCCACTGGCCACGAGCTCTTCAGGGGAAGCAGGTGGGTAGAAGGCAGGCCAGGGTGGCCCCTGCCCAGTGCCTCCCATGGGCTCCGTTGGGCCCTCCCTGCTGGCCCAGGCACCCTGGTCCCTGCTTGACCCAGGAGCTGGGAAATGCCCACTAAGCGCGTTTAGGCTATAACGGCCAACGCTGACTCAGCTGGCGTCTGCAGCCCGTTTGTTCTGCGTTTTGCCCAAATGGGCTGCACCTTTTCCTGAAGCAGATGCACCACTCAGGCCAGGAGCATCTGCCGTGAGCCGGCTCCTGCAGTGAGGGGGTTACCTTGGCCCCGCACTCAGTCCTCTCCGGAGGCCGGAGAAGCATATGACAAAGCTGACGTCCTCCTCTGTGCCCCACAGCCGAGGCCCCCCAGAGGGCACCTAGGCTCAGTGGCAGGTAAAGGACGTTGAGGCCACACTCGGGCTTTGACAGCCTTCGACACCAGCCCTGGACAGAGGGAAGGGGCAGGCCCACCCAACAGCGCCGGGGCCCTGCAGCCAGGACGCTTAGTTCCGTGGCCCCAGGGTCTGAGGACAGGGTGCAGCAGGAGCCCCAGTGTCCTGGACCAGGGCCTCCTGCCCTGGCTTCCTTCGCTGCCCACCAGTGGGACCCAGACACACATCTTGAGATGTATTTTCTCCAACTGCTGCCCTCCCCACCCATCCCTGCTCCCAGCTCCCAAGCCCCCAGACCCATTTCTTCCTCAGGTGACTGGCTGGCTGTCCAGCACCCCGGCCACCAGTCTGACGCCTTGCTGCCCGCCTGCTTCTCCTGAGACCTGGGTGCTCTGGCCCACACAGATGTCACATCCCAGGACCCCAGGGCCACGAGACCTGACTCAGGACAGAACAGGTCTCCCACACCCCTGGACTTGGCAGGGCCTGTCGCAGCCAGACGCATTCACAAGGGAGCATTTGTGGAGTGTCTGCTGTGTGCCTGGCCAGGATCGGCAGTGGGGACAGGGCTGGGCGCTCAGGGAGCTAACAGCCTGGCCACAGTGCCTGCTCCCTGGTGGGTGCTATGACCCACAGCTCCGCCCTGCGTACAGGGGACCCACCATGCCTTACAGGGTAAGGAGATCACCATCCACCCTCCTGTAGAAAAAGTGGGGCATGTGCTGCCTGGCCCCTTGCAAGGCTTCAGAGAGAGAACCCTGGCTCTTTGCTTCACTGGGCAGAGGGGCACCCTGGCTCTTTGCCAAGCTGGGGTTGGGGGTTCCTGCTCTTCGCCCAGCCACAGGCCCCAGCGTGGGCCAAGGCTTGCCCCAGTGCTGAGGAAACCCAGCGGGTGGGCCCTAATGGGGTGGTGAAGGGGTTAGTCGCCGGCCGGCCGGCTGGGCTGCCAAACTGAAGGAGACATTGTTCTTTTCATTTCCTTTCCACGTCCAGGAGGCCCGCTGGCAAGGTGCGAACGAAGCTGTAATTGCAGGGCCCCACGTGTCATCCATGGGGCTGTAACTCAAGAAAGGTGCAGGCCAGACCCCAACTGCTCAGAGGGGCCCCCCCTGCTTGGCCAACACCCGTCCCGCCTGCCTGGCCGGCCTGGGCGCCTCTGCAGCCCCCCCCACCTCCCCCGGGACTGCGGCAGCCCCGCCCTCGGCCGGAGGGGGCGGGGGCAAGGGGAACCCGGCTGAGGGGGGGACGACCCGCCCTGCACTCTCCTTGGGGGTGGGGGAACAGCCCTCCACCCGCGTGCCCAGGTGGGCACCGGCAGCAGCCTGCAGCACCACTCGCTCGGGAACACCGGACACAAGACTGGCCCCGCCCCCCAACGGTGCCGCCACCCCGCCCCGTGCCTTTCCCCCCCCATTCCCCAGAAAGCGGCCAACGCCCCCAGGGACGAAGTCCCAGAGAACGCCCTCGGAGCCCCTCGCCGTCCCCAAGCGCCAGCCAAAGTGAGCGCGGCCTTCCGAGCGCCCGGAGCCCCCAGTCCCGCGCCCAGGTGTTCCCCCACCCCCGTCCCCCGCTCGGGTGACACTGCGGCAGCGCGCGCGGGCGGGGCGCACCGGGGGCGGGGCGGGCGGGGACCGCGGGGGGCGGCGCGGGGCGCGTTGCCATGGCGGCCCTGCGCGCGTAGCCATTCCGGCTAGCTGAGCCAGACCCGCGCGGAGCCAGCCGCCGCCGGCCGGGGGCGGAGGCCGCTGGGGGGCGAGGCCAGGCGGGGAGGGGGCGCCGGCTCCGCGCAGATCTCGGCGGTCAGTGCGCCCCGGGCGAGCGCGGCGGCTCAGGCGGTGGCCGAGTCTGTGGCGCCGCCGGCGCTCCAAGGATGCAGGCCATGGACCCGGCCGCAGCGGATTTTTATGAGGAGGATGGCAAAGACCTAGACTTCTACGACTTCGAGCCGCTCCCTACTCTGCCAGAGGATGAGGTAAGCCCCCGCCCCATGGTGGGACCCCCCCATCCCCCACGGAGGGTTTCGCAGAGAGCCCCCCCCACCCCGGAAGATGCCCCAGCCTCCCCAGGCCCCCCGGCCCTGGGCCAGGTCCTGGCAGCTGTTCTCACCAACCCCTACCGGCCTTTAACATTTTTGCCTGGAGGGAACAGGACGCCAGAATGCCACATGGGACAGCAGCCGGTGGGCTGTCACTGCAGAAGTTGGCACTCTGCGAGGGTGGGCTCCCGATTACAAATGCTGGTGGATGAGTGTGGAGGTGGGCTTCGGGGCAGGAGCAGAGCATGCCAGCGCCCTAGGAGGTCAGTGGAAGGCTCCGGGCAGCAGAGCCCAATCAGGCCAGACTGCTCAGCAGCGGGGGTGGGGGTAGGCCCCCCACGACTGAGGGCTGATTCTTGCTTCCTGAGGACAACAGTAGCCTTTGGTCAGGAGCCCAAGTCCTGGGGCTGCCCCTCAACCTCAAGAGCAGAGGGGCTGGGTCTCTGCCACCTGGGGCTTCCGGCCACTAACTGGGCCAAGTGCCCACGGAGCCAGTTTGCCTGCGACTCCATCAGAGAAGCCGTCCCCACTGGCCTGGGCTTGTTCTTGCAGCTGAGGCAACCCTCCAGTGCCCCATAGGCTGTGGGATGGGGTCTAATGAATAAACTCCGTGGCCCTTAAGCAAGATGGTCTCCCCACCAGAGGTGGCCCCCAGAGGACGCAGCTGCTCCCAGGAAGACCCTCTGGTCTCCCAGGGCTGTGAGGTCTGCCCAGAGCACCCTCCACGCCCACCGTGGGCACAAGCCCCCATCTGTTGAGGAGTGCTGGCGCTGTGGGGCCATTAGCAGGGGCTGCGATGCTCCCCTCCAAGTGGCGAGACCCCCCACCTGCCCCTCTGGGCCAGGCCTCCAGCGAGGCAGCCCCGGCCAGGCCCTCCTGGGCCGGAGGGGCTTCGTAGCGCCAGCATGCCCCACCCCCACGTCCCTGCAGGGCCGGCTCTGAGGACGGAGGGGCTCATGCTCTAGGAGCGGTCCTTCCAGGCTACTGGCGGGGCCGCTGAGCCAGTGCCCCAGGGTTTCGTGTTGCTCCCCCGCCCCCCCCCCGAGTGGCCTGGATTTGGCGAGAAAGAAGCCTGCAGAGAGGAGAGGCAAGGAATTAAATAAACCTTTGGCTATCTCCATGGCTTTGATGGAGAAAGAAAGGGTGCTCCCAGCCCACAGCCTTCAAACGTTTCCCCAGAGGACGAATCTCTGAAGTATCTGTTGGAGGACTCACCTCCCACCCAAGTCACCGTCCAAGGCAGACACAGAAAGTGGCTCCTCCCTCGGAGCCTCCCTGCATCCGCTGCCCCACGCTCGCGGGGCCTCCTCCATGCCTGGCACACCGAGTCAGCGATGGTGCCAGACAGACAGGACCGGCTGAGCCGGGATTTGGACACAGCCTCGGCCCCACGCCTGCCCTCCTGCCGTTCCCTGATGCCTTCTCCTGGGAGGAGTGTCCCCAGCGCCACTCTGGGTTGGAGCAGCCGGGGTCCCCATCATCCTGCGACCGAGGCCTCTGGGGAAAGCGCAGTAGCGTCCATAATGGGTTCAGGGGGCCCTTCAGACTTCTCACCCCCTCTCTGGAGAGAGAGGCTCTGCCTTGGTATGTTCTCGGCTTCCACCAGCGTCCTGTCCCTGGTCCAGCCTGTGCTCCCTGCACACTTGGTGTGCTTGACATTGACCGCTCTGAATCTCCACCAGGGACCGTGCCTGCCTGCTACAGTGTCGTGTAGTCAGGGTGCATCTGAAAAGCCTCTCTGTGTAGGGGGCGGGGGGGCTGTGCTGAAGGAGCCCCCGGAGGGAGCTTCCAGGGAGGGACGGTCCGAGCCACACAAGACACAGGAATGTGCCAGTTACAAAGCTAATTATCTCAACTGGCTGTACAGTGAGCTCAAGAAGTAGAACCCTGCAGACACCCCCGCCCCCGCAGGGGCCCCGGACCCTCCCTCCCCCGTTGCAACCCCAGAGAAAAATCCAAATTGCTGGTGAGCGTAATGAGATGTCCACTGTAACCAGGGAATTCAAAACACAGCCACCATGAACACCCCTCCACAAGCACCAGGTTGGCGAGAACCAGGGAGCTGGAGCGTGGCCCTAGCTGGAGGGGAGCGGGCAGCGGTAGCCCGCCCTGGCTGCTGGTGGGAGGCTGGGGCGGAGCAGCCTCTTTGGAAAAGTCTGGCACCGGATAGCGAAGTGCCAGCCACTTTATTCTGGGCACCTACCCAGAGACAGGTGGCCCGTGGGCGGCGCCTGAGCATGAGGACTCTCTGGGCTAGAGACCCCCGGGGACATGGGGAGGTCTTGGAGGCTGCAGCCTAGCCGGGTCTCTGGCCACCTGCAGGCAGCTCCACTGCATTGGTACAAGCAGAGGCAGGGGGTGCGGGTCAGGCAGAGCTGCTGCGGGAGACGCAGGCACCAGGCCATCGCAGGTAGCGGTGCCACTGGCCTTTGGGGCTTTCAAGGGCAGACATCTCCCCGCCCCCAGACTCCACCGAGGGAAAGGAGGTTCTTACCTGTCCCAAGTCCAGCAGCACATCCCCAGCATCTCTGAGCCAGAAGCTGGGCTGGGCCTAAGGATTTGAAGGCAGAGGGGGCGCTCACAGCTGGGGGACCCCATGAATGGTGAGGGGGTCTGGACTGGATTTTGAAGAACCTTCTGGCCCTGCCCTTAGAGCTGGGTCTGTACCTGGGAGATGAAGACTCTGAAGGCTGGCCAGCAACAACCAGGTCAGACCAGGGGGCAGTGGCAGGCGGGAAGTCCCCCAGCCTCCAGCGGGCCCTGGGTCCCCGAGGTGGGGCTGGAACCAGGCATCTGGAGCAGCCTGGGCCAGCTTCTCGTGGCACACCACCCCCTCCGCAGCTTCTGCCTCGGGCCCTGAGGCCCCGCAGGCCTCCAGGCACAGTCCATCTGGGTGTGGATCGGGGCCTGCCTGGCGTGAGACTCGGGGCCGTGGGGCCCTTCCTGGGAAGAGCAGAGGCTGGCAGGATGCCCACGCAGCTCCGGTCCACTGGGGCTGGAACTCTGAGGGGCTGGTGGGCTGAGATCCTGAGCGGCCGACGTGTGCCTCCCCGTCTCTCTGTCCTTGTCTTCGGCCCATTAGCCAAGGCCTTTCAGCCCTCCCTCCTGCCCTACCTGGGCCGTGGATTCGGGCAGGGGAGGGTCATTCCCCCTGCCTGGGCCAGAGCAGGGGGTCCAGAGGGGTGGGTGGCAGGCCCCAGAGGGTGGTGACCATGGGCCCAGGGTCTGGGATCCCTCATTATGTGGCAAGACCTCCCCTCGGTGAGTCAGGGGCCAGCAGCATCCCTCAGCTCTGTCCTGGAACCTGCTCCAGCTGAGTCCTGCCTTCCCGTTGCAACGGTGGGGTTTCAGAGGGGCTGAGGCCATCCTGACTGAGTGGAGGATGCTCCCCCATGAATAAATACCCCCGTAGGTGCCCCCCATGAAGAAGTGTTGGCCTTTGGCTTCCCTCGGGGGTGTCCACCTCACTGGGGCATCTTTCCACTGGGCAGGGACCGCAGGGCCTGGACCTGAGCAGGAAGTCATGTTGGGGGCCCTGAGGTGCCCCGGGGGCAGACCTGACCTGCGCTCCCTTCTCTTGGCAGCACGTCCAGTCACAGCTGGGTGAGTGGGCGGGCAGGCTGGTCGGTGTGAGCCACAGCCAGCAGAGAGTCGGTGAGCCCCCGCAGCGCGACGGCTCAGACTCACCCTCCTCGGCAGCCGTGGGGCCCTCAGGCTGCTGCCTGATTCGTGTTTCATGTGTCTGCGTATGTGCGTGCACGTGTGTGTTGTGCGTGCGCGCGCACGTGTGTGGGTCCACAGCACCAAGGCGCGTCTCTAACCAGGCCCCCAGGCATCCCCGGGAGTGTACGGCTCTCCTGGGTCCTGTGGGGTCCTGGGTGGTGCAGAGAGGCCCCAGGTTCACCTAGATCAGAAGCCCTTTTACTGGGGAACCTTGGGAACACAGCAGGGAGGTCTGGAAGTTTTGACTTCTGGGTTCTCCACCCTCTTGTCCTCCCCAGTCTAATCGTCTGCTCTGCCTTTTGTCTTGGTTTCTCCTTTTAAAAGCCCAGGCCACCTTCCCCACAAGGGCCAGTGAGGGGCTCTCTGCTCTCGGGGTCTCCCAGGCCTGTGGCCTTCTGTTCCCCAGCCTTCTCCCTTCACCCCACCCTGCCCCATGCAAAGAGCTGGGAGGGCCCCGGAGTGACGTCCCTGAGCCCCTCCTTGAGCCAAGAGAAGGCAGCAGACGGTGGGATGCGCCAATTCACACGGGGAGACCCAGCCCTGGTCCCCTTCCTGCCACCCCGTGCCACACGCTGCCCGGCCAGATGCACACACAGCCGCTCCTCATCCTGTCTCTTCCTTCCTTGCTGCAGACCTGGCATCTCTCTTGCTGTGATGGTGGGGATCCTGTGCAATGCAGGTGGGAGAAGTTCAAGGGCTAGAGGTGGGAGGCCCTCTTTAGGACCTGATAGCTTGGCTACACTTGAGAACCGCCCTGTGTGCTGGTGGGTGGAGCAGCTGAGCCTGGAGGCAGAAGTTAGATGGAGGACAGGAGATGGGGGACCACTCGTATGCATGACCCCCCAACCGCACCCCCACGCCTGCACCCCCCCCACCAGGCTGGATGTCCACGCCCTCCCCTGACCCATCACGGGCCTCATCCAGGTCTCAGCTCCCAGCCAACCCCCACCCAGACAGGCAGTGTGTGAACACACACACACACACACACACACGAGATGATCAGGCCGTCAAGCAGGAGACCAGAAGAGGGAGGAGAGGTACAGGGTATCTGCTGTGTGAGGGTGCAGGGGTGTGTAGTGGTGTGTGTGAGCCCATGGGTCACGTGTGCTCGTTGGTGTGAGTATGCGTGTGTGACTTGCAAGCACGTGTGGGCATGTGTGTGGATGTGTGAGCTTGTGTGTGTCCGTGCATTGGTCAGTAAATAAACGGGTGAGAGTCATGTGCACGTGTGGGGAGGGCGTGCTGGTGTGCGTGCCCATGTGCGCATAGTGCCTGACGGAGTGTGCTAGCATGTTGTGTGTGGTGGTGGGTGTGCACGTGTGTGAGCACGAGTGTCGGTGACATGACACGAGTCAGATCTGGAGGTGGGGCCGCTGTGCGTAGTGTCCCGGGGCCGTCCTCTTCTAGAGCTGTTGTCCTCGCTCTCTGGCTGTGGTGTCGTCCTCTGACACGTCACGTGGTTGTCACAGGCCTTGTTGGCAGCTTCCGCGGGTCCCTCCATTTCTTTCACCTGCTACAACCTAAAAAGGTGCCGCTGAGCCCTGTGTGCTGAGCCCGTGAGCCTGGGACGCTGGAGCTGGGGCCGCGACGTCGGGGACAACGGCCCAGGTCCCGGCTCCAGGGCGAACACCTGCTCCAGCGGCAGCTGGCGTGTCACCCGATGCTCGGAGGCTCTGCCGTCCAGGGAGTCGTGGGATGACGTTCTGTTGGGTGTTTTGGGTTTGGGGGGAGGTTTGAGACCTTGCCTGAAACTTCCCTCCTGACGTAAGATGAGACAATGACCTGCTGCCCCACGTCTCCTGCTTCCCTGGAGTTAGTCTCCACATCGGGGCCTGTCCCAGACTGGCCACCCCTTGCAGGCGGCCCTTGGTGGCTCAGCCCAGGCCTGTCTCGGCAGGAGAACGTGTCCCTGGCCGACATCCTCTCCCTGCGGGACAGCGGCCTCAGCGAGCAGGAGGCCTGGGCCGTGTGCCTGGAGTGCAGTCTGTCCATGAGGAGTGTTGCGCACTCGGCCATCTTCCAGACGCTCTGCATCACGCCCGACACGCTGGCCTTCAACACCAGTGGGAACGTGTGCTTCATGGAGCAGCTCAGCGGTGAGGCCCGGGCGGGGCGGGCGGGCAGGTGCCTGGGGCTGAACGTGAGCGCTGACGCGGCCCAGTGGACGCCGCCCCTCCGTGGCCCCCTGCGACAGTATCTGAGCGCGGGTGACCACGGAGGGACCTCCAGACCCTCGCGGGGCTCAAGACCTGCGGGCGGGTGTTCGTGACCGCAGCCCTGGCACACGTGGCCCTGCACAGGGGCCTTCAGGCGGGATGATCTGGCGCCTTCTCTTCCTCCCCAGACGACCCTGAGGGAGCCTTTGTCCCCCCGGAGTTCGATGTGACTGGGAACACCTTTGAGGTGAGTGGCAGCAGGTGGGCCCCCCAGACGTCTCTCCCACTGGTCATCACCTGGTGTCAGCATGGCCATGGGGTCCACCCCAAAAGGGCCAGTGCCGCGGGGGACAGAGCTGGGGGCGTCCCGAGGAGGTAGGGTGGTGCCAGGGGCCCCGCCACGGCTGCCAGACGTGCTGTATCTGGGTGCACGCTTGTCGTATAGTGCGTGGCATGTTTTCTCGGGTGTGAACTGACTACATTTTAAGATGCTAAAAGTGCCTAAAATTACCAGTGGTGGCTGGCGGGACTCGCGGCTTCTCTGAGGATCCGTGGGTGCAGCTCCCTCACCCTGCGGAGGGAGCAGCCTCTGAATCACTCACTAGTGTGAGCGGGGCCCACACGGGCTCCCACATGCGGGCTGAAGTCGCCGAGGCCTCTCGGGGGGCACCCAGCAGGAAGGACCCCTGGGCGCCCCCGTGCACACCCTCAGGCCCCTGTGCGCCGCGGCGGCGGGCATCACAGCCCCGCAGGAAGGGCCGGGGGGCGTGGAGAAGGGGGCCGCCTCGCAGGCCCCGCCCACCTGTGCCCTGGTAACTTTCCGGAAAGAGCCTCGTGCTCCGCGGTAGCGTCTGGAACTTCCTTCCACACGGTTTCGCTAAGACTCATCTGCGCCGGGTGCTGTGTCATTCGTGGTGGGAAACGCTGGCCTACAGGCGGCCGGGAGGGGAGACGGGGTGCTGCTCTGCGCGGCCTCCTCGCGTCAGTCCGTCTGTCCGGGGAGAGTTTCCCAGCGGCAGGATGGCCACAGGGCAGGGTGGGTGATGCTCACCTGTTTTCTACGTGGTTGCTCTAGAGTGCACTGCCACCGGCACGTGGAGACACCCCTGCCTCCCCCTCCTCCGGGATCGGTTCTGCCGAGATTTCCTGGGTTTGCATTCCCGCCATCAGGAAGGTGGGCTTGCGGGTGACCAGGCGGGGATCCGTCCGTGGGAAAGTCCATCGCTATTCGATTGTTGCGCTTTCTCCATGTGCTCCCAGCCCTGTGCCAGGGCTGCAGGTGTCTGTCCGCCCCGCAGCGTGGCTTCTCACTTCCTTTAGGGCAGCAGTTCTCAGACTTCTTGGTCTTGGGACCCTTTACACTCCTAAAAATAGTTAAGTACTTTTGAGTATGTGGGTTTTATCTATCCGGTACTTACTGTATTACAGATTAAAATGGACAAATGGATAAAAAGTTTACCTATTAATTCATTTAAAAATAACAATCATGCTCCCCAGTGTTCATAGCAGCATTGTTTATAGTAGCCAAGGTATGGAAGCAACCCAAGTGTCCATCAACAGATGACTGGATAAAGAAGATGTGGTGTGTACACACACACACACACACACACACACACACACACACACACACACCATGGAATACTACTCAGCCATAAAAAAGAATGAATGTTTGCCATTTGCAGCAGCATGGATGGACATGGAGAGCATTATGCCAAATGAAATAAGTCAGAGAAAGACAAATACTGAAATACTGTATAGTATCACTTATATGTGAAATCTAAAAAATACAACCAGTTAGTGAGTGTAACAGAAAAGCAGCAGACTCACAGATGCAGAGGACAAACCAGTGGTTACCATGGGGAGAGGGGCAATATGGGGGGTGGAGCTGGAGGTGCAAATGACTGGGTCTAAGACAGCCTCAGGGACCCCATCCTTGTAATCACATTTTCCTGCTTTTCATGGCAAGTCTACGGAAATGCAGTTCACTGCAACATCTTAATCTTACATCCAGCCATCTTACTAAACTATTTTATTATTTCTAGTAACTTATGAATTCTGCTAGTTTTTCAGTGTCACTCATCACATCACCAGCAAGAGGTAGCAGTGTCATTCCCGCCTGTCCAAAGCTTTGGCGCCAAGTTCCCCCTCTCAGCCCTGCTGTGTGTCAGGCAGGAGCAGCCGTGGGGCAGGGTCCAAGAGTGCTCCTGGAGTCTAAGGGGAGCCTTTCCCACCTCCCTCATCGTATCTGCAGCTCTGTGAGTTCCCCGCTGTGCCAGGGTGATCACATCCTGTCGTGAAATGCTTCTGCCCCTTGTGAAATCCCATTAAGATTCTAACGTTTCCACAGGTGTCTCCTTTCCTGCTTGGAGAGACCTGAAAGGCGGTGTCTTAGCTTCTCTTCGCACTGCCGCACTCGATTTTCCAGTGCCTGCTCTGGGTCCTGTGTGTTCTCCACCAGTGGACTGGCAGTTCCCACCCTCCCTGGTGTTGCCACTAGGATGACTCTGGTCTTACGTAAACGCCCGCTTCCATTGCTGGGTGATGGTTTAGTGAGAAAGGGATGATCTGTTCCTTGAAAGTCTGGTCAAACTTACAAACCCATCTGCTTCCTTTGAGAAAAGATTTTTAATTGCTACTCTATTTTTAATAATGGAAGGATTCATCTGTTTTGCCTTCATTTTTTTCTTTTTTATTGAAGTACAGTCAGTGACAATGTTGTGTCAACTTTTGATGCACAACATAATTTTTCAGTCATACATACACATACATATGTTCCTTTTCGTGTTCTTTTTCATTACAGGTGACTACGAGGTGTCAAATACAGTTCCCTGTGCTGTACATAGGACCTTGTTATTTATCTGCTTTACATAAAGTAGTCAGTATCTGCAAATCTGAAACTCCCAATTTATCCCTTCCCGCCCCCTTTCCCCACTGGTAACCATAACTTTGTTTTCTATGTCTGTGAGTCTCTTTCTGTTTTGTAAATAAATTTGTGTCTTTTTTTCAGATTCCACATATAAGCGATATCATGTGATATTTGGCTTTCTCTGTCAGACTTGCTTTACTCAGTATGACGATCTCTAGGTCTGTCTGTGTTGTTGCAAATGGCATTATTTCATTCTTTTTTAGGGCTGAGTAGTAGTCCATTGTATAAATATACCACAACTTCTTTATCCAGTCATATGGACATTTGGGTTGCTTCCATGTCTTGGCTGTTGTAAATAGTGCTGCTGTGAACATTGGGGTGCATGTGTCTTTTCAAATTATCGAGCTCCCTCCAGATACATGCTCAGGAGTAGGATTGCTGGATCATATGGTAACTCTGTTTTCAGTTTTTGAAGGACTCTCCATACTGTTTTCCATATAGGATACACCATGTTTCTTATTGAGTCAGCTTTTTGGTAAACTATATATTTCTAAAAATGTATCCACTTTTACCTGTGTGTTTAAAGTCGCAGGTGACGTCCCTCTCAGTCACTGCGTTGCCGCAGATGTGCCCCAGGCCACTCCGTGGATGATTTATTTGTACCTTCTCTTGCCAGCCTTCCCGGGGGGGTGTATATTTTGTTAGTTTTGATGACAGAAATACCCAACAACCACCCGTAATAGGAAAAAAAAGTGTTATTTGGGCCAAATGAGGACTGCAGCCTGGGAGACACAGACTCAGAAAGCACTTGAGTCCAGTTCTCCAGACATCAAGATGGGGCTTGAAAAGGCAAAAGCCACAGAGCTACGTGCGTTGTCTGTCAGGACTGAGGACTGGCGCTGGCAGGAAGGAAGGTGCTTGTGAGGCGAGGACTGGTTGGGGTCCCAAGGGGTTGCCCAGTTACAGGGGGGACCTTGAGACCATGAGGCTGCAGGTGGCAGCTGCTGGTGGTGCTGTTTTGAGAACGGCTGGTTTGGTGCAGTTCAGAAAATCAAGTTCTCGGTGATGCGGGAACGTGTCTAAAGCCACATCCACGAGGTCCACCCAGCTCCCACCTGGACGCCTGAAACCCAGTGACTCCGCTCTGACCCTCCAGTGCCTCCTCTCCTTGGTGGCTGGAGCAGCTGTGCGGCGTGTGGCAGGCAGGACGCGGCAGGCTGCTCTCGGGCACGGACGCCTCAGGGCAGACCCTGCGTCGGCCAGCGAGACCCCCCCCACGCCTCAGGACGCGGTCGTCTCCCCGTCGCCTGCTCGCATCACGTGGTGCTTCCTGGTCTGTCTCTGTCCCCTTCCGTGGCTCTGCTCCTCTGTTCCAGCCTCTTTCTTCTTGTGCCTGTTCTTGGTGAGTTCTCCCAACTCCAGCTCATCAGCCCCACCCTCTTCTTCTTCTCTAATATCTGTGTGAACACCTGAAGCCCAGAATTTCCCTCGAAACACGAGTTTCGCATGCAGCATTTGCAGCGCCTTTCTCTTCTAAGTGTTTCTTTACTTCTGCTGGGATTTCTTCTGAAAGAACGCGTTGGGGGCTTCCTCTTCGTCCTGAGATGCAGGAGACCTCGCTTCGCTGTGCTTTGCAGAGACTGCGTTTCGTACAAACTGAAGGTTTACGGCAGCCCCGCGTCGAGCGAGTCTGCCGGTGCCATGTTCCCAACAGCACTGGCCCACTTTGTGTCTCTGTGTCACATTTTGGTGATTCTCACAATATTTCAAGCTTTTTATGACGATGATACCATGGTGGTGATCTGTGATCGGTGACCTTTAATGTTACTATTGTAATTGCTTGATGGCAGATTTAATGGATGAATGCTGTGTGCTCTGACCGCTTCCCCACCTGCTGTTCCCCGTCTCTCTCCCCCTCCCCCGGCCTCCCTCTTCCCTGAGACACAATATGGAAATTAGGCCAGTTTACAGCCCTGCAGTGGCCTCCGCATGTTCATGTGAAAGGAAGAGTCGCAGGCCTCTCACTTTAAGTCCAAAGCTCGAAGCGGCCAAGCGCAGTGAGGAAGGCCCGTTGAAAGCAAGACGGGCCGGAAGCTGGGACCCGAGCCGAAGGCAGAGGAAGAGTTCATGAGGGAGACCGAAGTGCCCCCGCAGTGAGCACACGCGTGGCGAGAAGGCAAAGCGGCCCTGCTGCTGACGGAGGGGGCTGAGCATCCGGATGGGCACCAGACCGCGGCATTCCCCGAAGCCAAAGCCCAGCCCGGAGCAAGACCCCCGCTGAGTCTGTGACGGCGGCGGAGAGGGGAGGAAGCCGCAGAAGGAGACTCTGAAGCCGGCAGAGGCGGGTCCTTGAGGTTCAAGGAGAGACTGTCCCCAGGACG